GCGGCCAAGGCTCCCCGCGACGCCGAGGCCTGCGCCCAGGGCGTCCCTCGCCGGTCCCCGCGTCGGCTGCCCCTTGCTCCTCCTCTCCTGTCTCCTCCTTTCCTTTCTCTTCCTCCTCTTGCCCCTGCGCCCCACCCGTCCCTCCTCCTCTTCCTCGACCATTTCTCTCTCCTAGGAAACGGAGGCGGCCGGTACGCCTGGCCCGCACTGCGCCCCCGCCTGGCTCCCGGGACGCCGGGGCCAGAGTCAGGTTCAGGCAGCAGGGCGGGTGCGCTCCGGCCGAGAGCGGCGCAGGGGCCCCCTCCGCGAGCGCCGTCCGGGCCTGGGCGCCCTCTAGCGGCTGCACTCCGTAGAGGGGACGCACGGGGCTGCTGGCCGGCCGCGTGGAGGGCTGGGAGAGGAGGCGGAGGTCGGGGTCAGTCTCCCTGGACTAGGAACCTTGCGCGCGGAGGGAGCGTCCGGACGGTGCTTCTGTAACTTCTCCACGCGGTGATAGGCAGAAACTTTCCTCCTAAGGGAGGGTTTGTTTGTTTGTTTGTTTGTTTGTTTATTTATTTATTTGGGAACTCGAACTACTGCAGAAGGGGGAAATTTTCTCATTAAAGTTACATCCCTGCAGTTAGTTCAATTACTTGATATATGCAGAAGATGTTGTAAATTTATAGATTTAAATAGCTTACAAAGATGCCGCAGGCCCCATCAGTTAATTTCCTTAATTTATGGATTTTAAGCTGCTCCTTGAACAGAAAGAAGGCCCTGGAAGTAGGTCAGGGATCTGTGCAGCGCGGCTGCCCACTCGGGCTCTCTGCGCTCCAGAGCCGCGGGGCTCCTAGCTCCCAGCTTGGCTGAACAGCCCGTGGCTCTGGGGGCCCCAGCCGGGGAGGTCTGCTCGGCTGTGGGGCTGACCGCCCCAGTCTGTCCGATGCTCTGCAAAACCTAGGAGCAGCAAAGCCCCCGCATTGGAGGAGCGGACTCAGATGAAAAGTGAAGCAAGTATCCAGATCTTGCGACCTCCTGGGGACCCTCCTAAATCTTGACTGTGGTCACAAATGAAGTCGTGTGTGAGTGTCCCCAGCGTGACGGAGAGAACCGTCCCTGTCCTTTGAGGAGGGGACAAACGAGCAAAAAATACACCAGGCTTTGAGAGGCAAGGACCCACGGAAAACTTGCCTGTCATAGTCCTTGTGGCCCCCAGTGTCCCTCCTTTCCCCCCTCTTCTCCTAGGTGGGTGCTGGTGTGTCTTTGTTTTGCGTTCCATATGGATGAATATATACATATGAATTAATACTTAAAAGATCGGTACGAACTCCGCTGTTTTAGGAAGCAACATGGCACTGTGATTAGTATTGGTATTCATGATTTAACATTTCTTTTCCCACTAGATGAAGTTTCTAAGATTTGCAAGGTACATGTCAAGGACGGGTATATAAATGGATTTTTATTTATTCACAACTCCAAGACTAATTGCTTCCCTTTGCCTCAAGGCCACGAGATTGGTTTTAATATGACAGTTCAAAAGTATTCATAGAACTACAGAGATACTAAGTGTCATTGTTTAAGAGATAAATCTCACCGTGGTATTGCTGACCCTGAAAATAGGATGTTTCCACTTTATTTTAAATTCCAAAGTGTTTTTTAAAGAGTTTCACTTTACACCAACTATATTAAAAATGCACAATTTAATCGAAGCAAGAGCTGACCATTTTGAAAGACCTCTATTTCCTTAATACTGCTGGGGACTTTGTTTTCATATTCTGAGTCCTTTTATTAAAGAGTTGAACTTTATATGTTCAACTTTAAGAGTAAGTTTAGACTATAATTTACTCTCAAATCTTTTAAAAGTTCCTGGGTAAATGTAAGCCATCCTTTACATCGCGAGACAGGGACATGGCCTGTGATAGGCATTTAATGGTCTGTGGCATATAATGCAATGGGGATGTATTTTTTAATTGAAGATGTATAATTAGGACTGAAAACATATTGAGACCTCTTGTAGAATACATTGTCTTTCTTTACTGTGGCCCAAGAGATTGGATGTGATTTTAATCAGAATTTGCTTTATTTTTAAGATTTCACTGGTGC